CTACAGTATTTGACTATACAAGTTGTTACTGTTGGAGATATGAAGTATTCTGCAGAACTGAGGATTCAGACTGGCAGTGGGCTAAGGATGAGTGTGAAAGCATGGGTGGTTGGTTAGCGACAGTTGACAAGAAAAAGACTCACCAAGAAATACGAAAACTAATCCGTGCGCAAGCCGACAATAAGGTTTGCAATAACTACGGATTTTGGATTGGTCTACATGATGCTAGTAATCCAAAAACATCCAGACATAAGGGCCAACCTGACAAGTTTTCGTGGGTGCACGAACAGTGCCACGATTTCCAGGTCTGGGAAACAAATCAACCCAATGACAACGATAAACAGGACAGTAATGGTCAGAATTGCGTTCAGTTGTGGTAAGTACAGCGTCCATTGAAGTATAGGTAGTTAATAGAGAATACACTAGTTTACGGTAAGCAATATATTGAGTCATATTTTGAAAATATCCGCCATTTTGGTCGTTATAACGGAATCATTGTAACAAACGGTAAATTGTCGTAAATTTTCAGCACTTCCGAAATGTGTCGATTCTGTATATTTTAAACCATTTTCTAAAACGTGTATTTCGAAGTTGTAAATTGCGTCTTTATACATATGTCTAGAGCGTTATTCGATTAATTAACACTAAATTTCAGTGTGTTATGTCAGAAAGAAATACATATGAAGACAATTTACTTTAACTGCTATTTCGTACGCTGTTACGTATTTCGGCTTCAGTTGCATGTGCTCTAAAAAACAAGAAACATATTCTATCTACGAAACTGAACACGAAATGTACATTAATTGAAATTTCCGCTAAATCAACAATTATATTTCGTTTACCAGGTACAGACCATCGAAAAAAGGTAACTTCGATGATGAATACTGTGGAGAACCTAAAGGATACGTCTGTCAGTTTGAAGAAGGTAAGCAAAATAAAGTCCCACTGGACTTGAATTATACGCATTGTAACCTCGGACAACCAACCCAAACAAACTGGCAACGTGGCGTTTCCCATTGAAATAATTGATGCCACGTTTGTTTAGGTTATCATGTCTTACCATATCTAAGATAAACGTTCCGGACAACGAGGATATCATTATATTTTAACGAAATAACGCGATAATGTGATAACGCTCTATTTAAGTGCATTAATTCAGAGGTTTCACAGTTACTGTTTGTTCGAGAAATACGAATGGCAGTAAACCAACTGTAAGTCAGAATGTTTTCGTTAAAAATATCATTCAGCAAAGAATCAGATTATGCTAGAAACCTTGTGAATCCTTGTGATAAAGTCGTGTTAATCGCTGCAACGTTTTTGTGTTTCAGTATGCCCTTGTATCAATCAAGGTTTGGAGTAAGACGTGGTCGGCGGAAAATAATCTTGCGATAGACGTGCTTTTAATCAGACCAACTCAAACCCATTAACCTGTTACGGCTATGCCAATAGTACGGGGTAAATAAAACAGCATTTGCCCAAGATACGATACATGATTACGAGGATACGGATGCATGAGGCGAAAACCGTGTTTCATTCAATGTTATGACGATGTGTGTTGTGTAGTACTCATATATATATATATATATATATATATATATATATATATATATATATATATATATATATATATATATATATATATATATATATATATATATATATATATATGAGCTCAGCATAGTATGTATGTATTCTAA